GCTACCAGTTTTTGTTGACCTGAGCCCACTGGCCAGTTTTCGTTGACCTGTGGGAATATATATATCCCTTCTAATGAGAACAAACGCGGCAGTGAATGTACGCTTGTAATGCCACCTCGAAACGTTAAATCGATTGTTGCCTGGGGGGCTATACCATTAACGGCGTAGAGCACTTAGGCAGACTAAATACGGCTGCTTTTCGATAAAGGAACGGCGTTTGGTTGGAAACTTCAACAATGCACGCTGGAACCTTATCGTCTCCCGAGAGTAACTTATACTTTGCCCTTTCGAATGTTAGGCCTAAATCAACGTTTAAAACACAATACTTTTGTGTTTTCGATAACAAAAAAAAAGGTAGGTTTGTCTTAATACTAAACGTAGTCTGAATTTTACCCATGTATAAATTAAACTCAAGATTTTCAGAAAAGCCACGTAACGCGTGCGTGTTCAGAACTTCAATCAAAAAAGTGGCCAATAGCAGAACTAACTGCCAGACGAATCCTGAACATTTAACAATACAGGTCGTAATAATGAGAAAATATAAACCAGCGCTCTTACGAAAAAATCAAATAAAACTCCAAATAATAAAATATATTTTTGAACCAACTCTAACCTAATTTATTGCAAGTATAATTGAGAAGTGTGATTTTATTGTAATAAAAGTTTATGTGATGTTTCATTTTTAGTAACACCCAATATTTAATTTTTATTTTTAATGTTATTCCTAATTTGAAGTCCAATTAAAAAATATGCAGCCGAATAATTAATCAAATCTAATTAAAAAAAATCTAACTTATTCATTTTGTTAAATGTATTTCATATGATTGTATAACACACCAATGATTTATTACAGTCGTTCCCTACCGCTTTCCACAAAAATGTCCAATGTCAAATAAACAAAACAGACATTTATACTAACGACAGCTGATTTACATATAAATATTTCCATATCCATAGTTATCAATAAATATTCCTACCAGTTCTTGAGCTGTAGACAAATAATTTGCTTGTTCGCGGGAACCATAGTGTTAGATAACCATCTTATCGTATTTAAATATCCTTATTGCCCATTCTTCCCCATAGAGGGAGCTAATATTGTACGCTTACACAGGTTCTCAGTGGAAAAAAACAAAACTACGAGATCCTAGTTCATTGCTACAAATCAAATATATAAAAAAGAAGAAGAAGAAGAGGGATTACCAGTTGCGATAAATTACATTGTTTCAGTAGTTGGATTTTCTAAGAATATTATCGATAGAAAAAAAACAAAATAATTCTTAACTTTTCAAGGAGTGTTTCTTGTTGAATATGCAAACCATGTATATATATCGTGATCAATGGCGGCTCTAGGCATAAGCAGATTGAGTGATAGCTTAGGGCCTCAAGCAACTCACTAGGCCCCCTAATTCACGGTATTTTTTCTATTTATATATAATTTTTACCACAACTTTGATTTTTGCCTATTTTGGTATTGTAATCATTTGAAAAAAAAAAATATGTTTTCGATGAAATCGATCCAAAACACCACTCACTACTGTACTGGATGGACATTTAGAAGTTGCATCAGAAAGGCTCCGGTAATTACACGTGCTGTGCGCGTGCGCTGGTTGATTGCATGAAGATTTAAGCAGTATTCTTCATCTTGAACAGTTGTTAGATGGGAAAAGGTCGGACAAGATGATTGCATTGATTAGAAGCTTCTTAAGAAAAAATTAGGAAGTTTAAAGAATGATAAGGCTACTGGGCCAGATAATATTTCCTCAAGGGTTTTGAAGGAGGTAAAATATTGGATATGTGAGCCACTTGCTACTATTTTTTTGTAAGTCCTTGAATAATGGGCAGGTACCAGAGGATTGGAAGTTACCTAATGTCACTCCTATTTACAAG